AGGATGTAAATTTTCATTTATGTACCGTATTGCATGACCGTGCAATTGTCCTGTTAAACTAGCGCAGCGCTGTATAGCAAAAAAATGGCGTAAATTGCAGTATCTATACCATAGTTTGTAGACGCTATAACTTTCACACAAAGCAATCAATATACACTTATTGGGATTTTTTTTTACCAAAAACATGGAGCAGAATACATTTTGGCTTAAATTTATGACTAACTTTGAGTTTACGATATATTTTTTATAGCTGAAAGTAAAAAATATTGTTTTTCTTCAAAATATTTGGTCTTTTTGTTTATAGCGTGAAAAATAAAAATACCACCAAAAGAAAGCTCTATTTGTTTGAAAAAAAAGGACGTAAATTTCCGTTTGGGTGCAGCATTGCATGACCGCGCAATTATCAGTTGAATTAGTGCAGCGCCGAGTAGCAAAAAGAGGCCTGGTCATTAAGGGGGGTAAATCCTCAGGAGGGCAAGTGGTTAAAGCAGAACTCCATCCAAAATAGCAATATAAAAAATAATTGATCATTAAAAGATAAAATAACAAAATCAACATTTCCTTCCATCGTTCCTCTGGATCAACTGTGGGTGTAGGATTATAACTTTTATTTTTTTTTTTTTTAATGGCTGAACTGGATGGACTTTTGTCTTTTTCAGCCAGACTAACTAGGTAACTATATAACATTTGCTGCAATATTCTGCTTTAATGCAGAGACTCCCCCCAAAGTACTTTGCTGCTTGCTAGAAGTCCTTAGTCTGATGACTAGCATGATTCAACCTGCTTCCTCTGAGCCAGGTCACCTTGGACCTGCCCCAGTCTGTGACTGGACAGTGAAAGGAGAAGCAGCACAGTAATGAGTTAAATTCTCTGCTTTCTCCTGCTATCCGCATGCTTCTTGTCAGCAACTGAACTGATTGGCTCCTTGTGCTGCTTCTTCCTCTCATACTCTAGCCCTGATTTATAGGGACCTCAAGAGGCTGATACCAGGTTAAATTAAGGTACTCATAATGCTTGCATTTAAAAAATAAATTTATGATGTATTAAAGCGGAGTTCCACCTATTTTTTTAAAGTACATCTCTGTACATTGTATCTGACAGGTAAAGCATGATTGGGTAATATTTTTTTTTAATGTATTTTTAAAATCCTTTTTAGGACTGCAGTTCCGGTCCCGGCCGCCTAGGCGATGATATTGTAAGGCGAATCGCAAGGTCTCCTGGGATGTCGTGTCCTGTATCCCAGGAGTCCTTTGGGTTCCTAGTATCATGGTACTTCGAAACCGGAAATTACGCTAATGGGAGGAGTTTGGCGCCATTTTACCGGAGTTCTGTGTGTGGAAGACGTGGATGCTGTGTGCTGCGGACTGCGCTGTTCTCTAAAGCTGGAATTGCAGAGAGTGTGTACATCGCACTTTGTTTAGTTAATTTGGGCACTTTGGTAACTATCTTTTGTCTGGGCAATCGACTTTTAATCTGATGTGGTCACTCTTGATGGGCTAACTTTCTGTGGTTTAGTTACAGTCATGATGACAATGGCTGTTTTCAGAGCAATCAGAGGGGGTCAGCATGCAATATAATAGTTGCGGGGCTTGCTCTGCTTCGAGACTTCACTCTCCTTCCCCATGGAGTGAATTGATGTACAGGTTGCCATAAGAGGGTGGGAACGTCTGCCATCCCCGCCATTGTTATGGCAACCTGTAGTACACAAGTCGCGTACTACAGGTAAGTCAATACTGTGCAGGCCTGAGATTGAGTGGTGCATGCTGGGATAGCCAGCAGTCCCAATTCCAGGAAGTAAAGACCTGCAGGCTTCAGATGCCCACAGCCATCATGGCGCCTGCCTGCTTCTGAGATCCTGGTAAAGTTTAACTTATTTTAAAGTAATTACGATGCTATTACTAACTACTCTATCCAATTGTTAATGCTAATGTAAAGGAAATTGTGGATCTGCTTTTAAAAAAAAATTATTTTGGGGACTGGAGCTCCGCTTTAACCTCCCTGGCGGTATTCTCAAGTGTAGCTCGAGGTAAAGTTTCAGTACCACAAGCGGTAACCCGAGCTACACTCGGAAATACCATGCGGCGCTGCTCCGCGATCCCTTGATCACTTACCTTGTCCCGCGCTCCCGCGATGTCCCTCCTCCTGCAGTGTCCCCGGCAATGTAATCCAGCGGATGCCGGCGTCTGTCTTCTGGGTTCCGTCCCCTGCGAGCGTCGGGACGTAAGGGGGATGGAACGGCGGGAAATTTGAAAATGACAAAAAGTGACATTTACTAAAATCACTGAAATCACATAGTAAAACATTACTGTATCAAACCATTTCACATACATTTTGTCCCGAGTGCTTTGTCCTGTGCCCTGCCTGCATTTTTACTGTTCCTATTGCCTGGAAACTGAGAAATATCCATGGCGTCCAAAAAGTGTCCCTTTAGGTCAAAAGCGGTTTTAGCCCAGCTAGAGAACAGCGATAGTAAATCAAAACCACTTGCAGAATTGAGTGATAATGATTCGTGGGGAAATTCGTCATCAGACACTGAAAACGATTTTGCGACTTTGCTCAGCGATGTGCGAACTTGGCGCTATATTTCAAATTTCAGTGTTTTTGGTTTGATTATATTATTGAATTAAATGTATTATTATTATATTATTATTTTTTATAATTATTTATTAAATTAAAAGTTATGATTTCGTGTTTTAAGTTTTATCCTACCCGGGATGTTTACTAGACTCTTGTTCGGACAGATTTCAGTGAGTTATTCCTAATAATTACAGGCCTACAATATGAAACGCCAACTTTCCATGCAAAATAATGGTACCCGCTTTCAGCACCAAAAATCTGAAATAATCATACTGTCAGGGAGGTTAATGATTGCAGATCTTCATTCATTTGTGTATTTGCCTAGCGTTTAGATTTGGGTCCAATGGATTTTGACTTTACTTAACCCCTTGACGCCGATGTAACACACATATGCGGCCTCACGGACCTGGGCTTTTTTCCGTGGGGCCGCATATTTGCGTACCTGTCTTTGTGCTGGGAGCGCCCCGCTTGGCGCGCTCCCAGCACCAAGACTGCGGTGTCACTGAGAGCCCCGGGTCCCGTTCTAACGATCGGGACCCGGGACTCCCGATTCCGGGTCACGTGATCGCTGTGATAGCCTCTGTTTGGCTATCACAGTGATCAATCACTGTGCAGCCTGGCCCCCTTGTTTTCTCTCTATGAATGGAGAAGAGAGATACATTGTATCTCTCGAACTCCTGACATAGAGAGATAAAAAAAAAGTTTGTAAAAAAAAAAAAAGATAAATATTATTAAAATAAAATAAAAAATGAAGAAAAATGCCTAGATCAAGGTTTGATCTAGTTCAGTACCAGGGTTAGTGTTTGGGTCAAGGTCAGGGTCAAAGGCCAGGGTCAAGGGCAAAGGTCAGGGTCAAAGGTCAGGATTTAAAAAAAATTGGTATCAGTGTCAGTTAGTGTTAATGTTAATGTCAGTGACAGTGTGTTTTATGTAAAAAAAAAAAAAAAAAGACAAAAACAAAATGCGTGCTATTGTTTCTGGACTGTACTACGGGTACAAACAACAAATAACATACACATATATGGTATCGCTGCGATCGTCAAGAACTGGAGAATGTATTTTGGGTTGTTCTTTGGTGGTAGGTTATGGTCGTAACAAGAAACACACAGTTAAATTTAAAAAAAATGATTTTTTTTTTACTATTTTGGCCCAGTTTTCCTTTAATAATAAAAAAAAAATTAGGAGATATCCATTACCATTTACCACCAAATGAAAGCCTAATTTGTCCTGAAAAAAACGCGGTATAATCCACCTGGATGTACAAAGTAGTTGTGACGATATGTACGGTTTTACTAACACAGGTCAACGTTGCAGAATTGTGCTTAGGCATTTAGATTTGTGTTACCCTTAGGCGTGAAGGAGTTAAGTAAGCTTGAAATAAGATTCAGAATGATGCTTGAAGGTTCACCAAGTTGACTTTTTACCTATATCACTAGGATTTGTGCTTTTATTTTACATTTTACAGAAATGATACAACATGAACTGAAACAAACTACAAATTCCAGGAAAACTGCAATACTGAACTCAAAAAACACAATAGAAAAAATACACAATAGTCATCTACTAATAACTGGATTTTGTTCTGTACTTTTTGACAGTTCTTCGGTCCTTGCTTCCAGCAAGGCCATGTAGACTGCACTTACATTTGTATGACTTACAGTAATGCTCTGAAATTTGGCAGGAATATGTACAAATCTCTTGCAATCAGCAGACCCAGATTTCTGCTTAGCTTCTTAGCAGCTGTAGTAGTAAAGCTGCCTACACTGATATTTGAGGTTACACCAGATGACTGCACAAGTGAGAAGGTTAGTAGGTGACACAAAAGAGCCCGCGCCCAGCTCACTATACAAGTGGTTGTGATCCTGTAAGCTTTGACCAAATAATTGTATAGCACATTACTCATTGTGAATGTCAAGAAAGACACATGGGGAGTACACCAAAGCCACAGACCACGAAGGTTATTCGTTGGAGTCCCCGCTGTTTCATACCGTGTGGATTTTAGAAAAAATTTCAAATGTGCAGTGCATTTCTCTTATTTTTAGCTATCACTGGATTTGAATATGTTTTTTATTAATTATATGAAAAAAAAAACAATGATAAGCATTCTTAACAGAATAAAAAATTCTTAGGTTTCAACAGCACATTTTATCTTTGTTTTTTCAGGATATTACCAGTTCTGCAAATCCAAGAAACGCATAGCTTAAAATCTTACTAAACCCCGGACCCTGCATTCACTATATCTGGTCTCCCAGGACCCTGCATTCACTCTATCTGGTCTCCCAGGACCTGCATTCACTCTATCTGGTCACAGTACACAGAGCATGAAAGTGCAAATATTTTAGTAAATATAAACTGCTAAATACAATTTCTCATCAGCAGTTAGAGCAGTCTTGTGAATTCTATCAGTGTCCAGCAGAACACATGTTAAAGCTTGTAGGAGGGGTTTGGATTTTGCTCTAGGAGGATGCAGAACCCCTGACTTCTGTCTGGACAGTGCTGATTGGCCCTGTGCTGATCACATGCACTGTCCCAAGAAAACAAAAACCTAGCAATACACACCAAACTAAGCATGTGCAGAATGACTCCACACACATATGTCTTATCAGGAGATAAGAGGGGGGACACTGGAAGAATGGGAGGATCCGAGAAGACAGGATCAAACAGCCTTTTTGCACAATGCAGATTAACCCCTTAGGTTACACAATGAGTATAACAAGCATGCTTTACTGCATATACAGACTGATTTTATTGTTGTGGGGTTTAGTAACACTTTAATTGGAATGTTGAATTGTAGCATTATCTCAATAAACCTCTATAAAAGTGTACCTGGTTCCTCCCGAATAGTAGAGAGGGAGCCGACCACCACAAGCACCAGGCCATACACTCCGACTCCAATAACACAGTCTAGGCAGGGGCAGACTGACCATTTGGAAACTCGGGCACTGCCCGAGGGCCCGGGGTCAGTAGGGGGCCCCATGAGATGCCCCTGGTACCTTTTTCATAGGCTTTTTTGAGTTTGGGCAAGGACACAGGGATCCCATGATCCCCTATTGCCCGGGGGCCCCATGAGTTTTCAGTCCGCCCCTGTTTAGGGGATGTCTTTTTGATATTTATTGCTTGGAGAACTTTAAACAGGAGAGGGGTTAGGGCATGGGATACTCCAAAACACTGCACATTAACAGGAGTACACTTTTCTCTAGGATCACACTCTGGAATTCTGCTGAGCAGAAGGGAATGCCCAGAACTCTGAGACCCATCTTACTCCACAGCTGCCACTGGCACTTACATCCCCAAAAAGCACACAGTCACCAAGAATCAACTCAGGGTCTTTGATCACAAGTCCCCAGGACAGCTGCCACCTTCCAGGTTCCTCCAGACACAATCCATAGAAGGAGACAATACTTCTCCAGACCAGATCCTTTATGGTGAAGTCCTACAGCTAGCTACTCAGGAGATCCATCCAGGCACCTGAGCACTGACACTGCTGAGACCTCAGGAACAGCTACACTGTCCATGGGCTGCCTAAGGGCAGCAGCCCCTTTGAGTTTGAAACCTTTTTGGGGAGAGATGATAATCTTTTCAGGGCTTCAGACTGTGTATCACCTTTCCAGCACCCTCCTGGACACTCCTCTCCAGGAACTGGCTGGAGCATGATAAATATTCAGGCTTATTAATTCAATATACATCCCTAAATTCCAGAAGCTTCTGCCAGAGGCAGGGGGAAGCAATCAAATCCCCAACCTATGAAACCCCGAACAGACCAGACCAGACAAGCAATACTCTCTTGACTACAGAAGGAGCCAAAAAATGAAATTTGCCTAGCATCCTATGCTAGGAGAGTGTTACAGAAGTATTGTTCCTGGACCTCTCAGATCCTTCACCCACTTCTGTACTATACGCCCTACAAAAAATGATTATATCTGCATTTAGATATATGTCAGTGAAAAGAATGCCTTCCTTAAGATGACTATACCATATACAACCTGACTGTGCAAGATTCTTTAGATCTACTAACAACTATTCAGTCCAATGGATTGGCCAACTGGATACAAATTGTATAGGCTTAAGTCGTTTTTGTTTCTTTGAGCCATTCATTCAGGGGTTTGACTAAACACAGTCCATAATTTGATATCATATATTCCTTAGTCCAACCCCCTTTTTTGCGCCTGCCTGGCCTTCTTTTATTGCAGTTATCTGATTGTCCAAATACTCTTTAGATCTACCAAAAAATATTTAGCACCAGGGACTGCCTTATTAAATACAGATTGTATAGTCTTACTCCCTTTTGACTAACCATGGTCCATATTTTGATATCATATGTTACTTAGCCTTAACCCCTCCTTTGGGCACCCTGGCCTACTTTTATTGGACTTATTTCCCTGTATAGTTTGAAAAAAGTTGTCAAACAGTCAGCCTACCTGATTGATAAATAACAGCAATCAGAATTACTTTAGGGCTTAAGTATTGAGAACTATTCATCATCTCTCTATCTGTTTAAGTTTGTCTTCATATTTAATCGTTTTATTATATCTAAAGAGAAATAGTACGATCAGATTGTAGTGTATGGTCTGTTCTACAGACAGCTAAAAAATTACTGGTATCAGTGGTTACTTACCTAAGACATGAAAAGAAAGGCTCCCATGCCACCAGCTCTGCTTAGGGATGTCGGATGAAATGATGCAGTCAAGAGATCAGGTCACTGCATTGCCATGTTGAAGCCACTGTAAAATACACTGTGCTTCTGGGTGCGGAGGAGAATGTCACTCCTTCTATTATGCAGTGCTGGAATTTAATGGTCAATTTTTAGACCTGAAGGATGTCACCTGAGGAGGATGAAGTCATCAACTCTGTATAAGCTCTAACACCATCTGCCATAGACAGGGGCGGACTGACAACTCATGGGGCCCCCGGGCAATAGGGGATCATGGGACCCCTGTGTCCTTGCCCAAACTCAAAAAAGCCTATGAAAAAGGTTCCAGGGGCATCTCATGGGGCCCCCTACTGACCCCGGGCCCTCAGGCAGTGCCCGAGTTTCCAAATGGTCAGTCCGCCCCTGGCCATAGAGCTTACATAGGATATGAATCCTGGAGAAGATGGGAGCATACTGTAGATGGGGGATAGATGAGGTTTAATGAGATTCTGTCATTTGACCTGAATAGACATAAAAACATGTCCACGATAGTTTTGAAAGGAGCTTCTGTGACCATCAGAGGCCCTTCACATCGCCCCTTTATGTCACCTTCCTCTTTCACTCCAAAGCATTTTTCAAAATAGTGAAATTTGAGCAAAATTTCTAGAACTTTAGCAAACATTGGGAGAAATTAAAATTCTCAATTTCACTTATCCCAGCTTGTGACACCTATTCCTACTATACCACTACTGGAAAGGGTATTGAAAACGATGAGTATAGCTGGATAAACCAGGGCAGATTGAAGCATAACTCTGAGCAGGTTAAAGTGTAACTCTCTGGTTTAGACAAACTTGAACACATTTACAAAATTGCAGCTGATGACAACTAATGGTGTCTCTTTTTTGCATCTGAAAGATACAAACTGATTGGCTGATAGCTGTAAATAGAGCATTGTTAAAAAAAATGCATTCCTCTATGGACACACCCTGGTGACGTGTTTACTGCACTGAACTTTCCTCGAGAAGGACTAAGGAGCCCTGTAGCTGGATTTCAAGCTGTTGTGTGCTCATATGACCACCACACAGCCCATAATGTTGTAAAACTGAACTTAAGGTGACCCAGTCGCTGTATATAAAATATTTAAATCTATTACCTGAAATAAAAGGTTGAGTATATTTACCTTTACTGCTGCCAGCACTGCTGAACGTTGACCCTACTACTGAGAGATCTCAAAAAATCTAAAAAGTGAAAAGTGACACTTCCGGGAGAGTCAATCTTCTGAGGCTGCTTTGCAGCTCCCATTGATTTTTCCCTCTGACCTCCACTAATTACAGGTTACCCATTTTGTTTTTATTTTTTTACATGTGAAAGTGAAGTTTGACTTTAAAACCATAAAACATGGTATTACAGCATCTCATCAACACATGCATTTTAATCTACAACATGCACCTGTGATTGTAAAGATTTAAAGGTCAATAAAATGTCATATTCAACACACAGACAAACACAATTTATTATGTATTACGTAAGTGCAATACTCTATAGATTGTATTAAGAAATTACAGCAAAATGAAACTTAAGCATGACATTCAAGTGTTCACCACAAAAGCGAAACCACAAACTCCCTTCGCCCCAACCACATGGCTCATTAGATTCGGGCTGATGGTTTTTTTTGCAACTCTGCATTTGCAAGCAATTCTTTTAGCAATATCATCTTAGCCTTTTCACATTGTGATATCTTACTGATCTAGAAGATTGCTGATTTTTGAAATAGAGAAAGCAAGAATAGAAATAAATCACAACATAAGGAAAATATAGAAATCAAATTATGTATTTGTTCATAAATCAGTAAATGTACTTGTAAAGTATGTATAAACTCAATCACTAAATTCTTATTTAATTTTTAGCATGTTACTATAATTTTAAAAGTCATTATCAATCTTTTTTAATTATGACACTTTCACTAAAATTAAACTTAGTGATCATGCCATTAAGTCCTGGTTATGGATGAGCTTGGGTTCAGGTCAAACTTGGTATCTAGATAGCATTGCTCGGGCAATGAGTGACGGACGGGAGATTTCCAACCCCGCAGCTGCATGTATACTATTGGCGGAGATGCTTGTGACATTATTGACTTAATATACCTTAGATTGTACGCTCCTCGGGGTTAGGGACTGATGTGAATGTACAATATATATGTAAAGCGCTGCGTAAATTGGACGGTGCTATAGAAGTACTCGAAATAATAATAATAATATGGCCACATGTCCATATTTGGTCAATGACATTGATCTAGTATGGCGATGTGCCCATAATAGGTCAAGGATGTCATAAGCACCCCTTTGTGTACGGATGGGGAATCCCCCAGCCACAACTCAATGGCCCAGTAAGGACAGCCACCTTCCAAACTTGACCAAACTGGGTTTTGGAACTTAAACTGTAAAGGAGAAAGGGAAAGGAGAAGGGAGAAGAAGGAAAAGGGGAAGAGAAGAGAGGAAAGGGGGAAGGGCAGACAAAGAGGGGAAATGAGGGCGAAATAATAGGACAAGAAGGAAGAGAGGCAAATCAAGAGAGAAAGAGTTAATTGGGGGAGAAAAAAGGGAACAAGGGGAATGAAAGAGAAGATTGAGAATAAACGGGGGAAAGGAAAGAGGGAGGGGGAGTGAAAAATGAAGGAAATAGGAGGAAGTAGGAGTAGGGGAAAAGAAGGGAAGGAGGGTAAGGGCAAAGATTGCTCCCTTTATTCCCAATTTAGTGACAACTGTAAAATTCTTCCTACACTTTCTTCCCTGGAGACAATGAACACTAGGACAAAAACCAAGGGTACATCTCCCCACTGAGGACATAGACAGCAAAAAGAAACCCTCCTCACTTGACCCAATAATAAAAAAGGATCTTGTCTGAGGTTTTGCTGTGACAACAATTTTTTTTGTATATTTATCAGCAAAGTACACTATCTCCTCCCTGTGCAAAGCTTAGTAAATATA